CAATGGACTGGTCCTGTCAGCTTTCCACCCTCTCCTTTATTCTTTCTCTCCCCCCGCGCATTACATTCTCCAACAGATAAAAGGAATACACTGGCTTTGTTTAACATTCTTATTTACCAATTTCTATCTACCGCATTCCTTGCTCTCGGGCCTTGAGCCCAGTCCTGGGAGGCTTCCCACGGTTCATGTCATCTGGGCGAGATTCCAAGGTTCATGTCCTTGAGAGGAGCTGTGTGTGCACAGCTCCTACACAACACTCCAGGTGTGCCCTGAATGTTGCTGAGTGCCTGAACCTTGTATGAATCCTACAAGGTTCCATGTCAAACTTAGCCAAAATGTGATGTTGAATGTTTCTGAATTAGGGGTGTGGGTGTGGAATCTTGTCCTGATTAGGAAACTCCAATTTTTTGAGGTTTCCATCCAGAGCTAGAATCATGGAAATGTAGGGCTGGAAGGGACCTCAAGAGGTCCTTTAGTTCAATTCTCTCTGCAGAGACAGGACCAAGTAAACCTAGATCATCCCTGACAAATGTTTGTGCAACTTTGTTCTTAAAACCTCTAATGGTGGGGATTCCACAGCCTCGTTGGAAACCTTTCCCCAGGCTTAACTATCTTTACACTTGGAAAGCTCTTCCAAATACCTAACCTAAATCTCCTTTGCTGCAGATTAAGCCTGTTTCTACTTGTCCTACCTTCAGTAGACACAAATGCCAGTTGATCTCCATCCTCTTTATAACTGCCCTTAACCTATTTGAAGACTGTTATGGATCCTTGCTTGTGCTCTTTTTCTAAAGATTACACATGCTCAGTTTTTAACCATGCTTCAGAGGTCAGGTATTCTAAACCTCTTATCATATTTGTTGCTCTCCCCTGGACTCTCTCCAATGTAGCCATATTTTTCCCCCCTTCCTAAGTCCAAAGTACTTCATTGGTTTCTATTGAATTTCATCTTTTTGATTTCAGACCAATTCTCCAATTTGGCAAGGTTGTTTTACATTCTAAAATTGTCCTTCAAGGAGTTAGAAACCCCGCTCAGCTTGGTGTCCTCTACAGATTTGTAAATGGATATTCTCTATTCCATGATCCAAGTCATTGATGAAAATTCTGACTAGTACCTGATCAGGACAGACCCCTGTGGTATCCTACCAGATAAACTTTTCCAGTTTGAGGGCTAACCTTTGAAATGTACCCCTTGAGTATGTTCTTTCGACTAATTTTGTACCCATATTATAGTAATTTTAATCTAGACCACATTTTCCTTGCTTCTGAGAATGTCATGTGGGACTGTCAAAAGCCTTACTAAAATTTTACACTGTTTCCCCCATCCTCTGGGTCAGTAGAATCATAGAATATCAGGGTTGGAAGGGACCTCAGAAGGTCATCTAGTCCAACCCCCTGCTCAAAGCAGGACCAATCCCCCAACTAAATCATCCCAGCCAGGGCTTTGTCAAGCCTGACCTTGAAAACCTCAAAGGAAGGAGATTCCACCACCTCCGTAGGTAACACATTGCAGTGCTTCACCACCCTCCTAGTGAAAAAGTTTTTCCTAATATTCAACCTAAATCTCCCTCACTGCAACTTGAGACCATTACTCCTCTTTCTGTCATCTGCTACCATTGAACAGTCTAGATCCATCCTCTTTGGAACCCCCTTTCAGGTAGTTGAAGGCTGTTATCAAATCCCCCCTCATTCTTCTCTTCTGCAAACTAAATAATCCCAGTTCCCTCAGCCCCTCCTCATTTTTGTTGCCCTTTGCTAGACTCTTTCCCATTTTTTCCACATCCTTCTTGTAGTGTGGGGCCCAAAACTGGACACACTACTCCAGATGGGGCCTCACCAATGCCAAATAGTGGGGAATGATCACGTCCCTCGATCTGCTGGCAATGCTCCTACTTATACAGCCCAAAATGCTGTTAGCCTTCTTGGCGACAAGGGCACACTGTTGACTCATATCCACCTTCTCATCCACTATAACCCCTAGGTCCTCTTCTGCAGAACTGCTGCCTAGCCACTTGGTCCCTAGTCTGTAGCGGTGCATGGGATCCTTCCGTCCTAAATGCAGGACTCTGCTCTTGTCCTTGTTGAACCTCATCAGATTTCTTTTTGGCCCAATCCTAGATAAATTGGAGGTCCCTCTGTATCCTATCCCTACCCTCACGCGTATCTACCACTCCTTCCAGTTTAGTGTCATCTGCAAACTTGCTGAGGATGCAATCCATGTCATCCTCCAGATCATTAATGAAGATATTGAACAAAACCGGCCCTAAGACTGACCCTTGGGGCACTCCGATTGATACCAGCTGCCAACAAGACATGGAGACATTGATCACTATCTGTTGAGCCTGATGATCTAGCCAGCTTTCTATCTGCCTTATAGTCCATTCATCCAGCCCATACTTCTTTAACTTGCTGGCAAGAATACTGTGGGAGACTGTATCAAAAGCTTTGCTAAAGTCAAGGAATAACATGTCCAGTAACCTTGTCAGAGGGGAAATTAAATTGGTTTGGCATGGCTTGTTCTTGACAAATCCATGTTGGTTATTACTTATTACCCTATTATCTTCTGTGTTTACAAACTCATTAATAACTTGTTCCAATATCTTTCCAGGTATCTAAGTTAGGCTGACTGATCTACAATTCCCCAAGTCCTTTACCTGTTTGGATTGATTCAGCTAGTTCCTTAAGTACCCTAGATGAATTTCATTAGGCCCTGCTGACTTGAATATATCTAACTTATCTAAATATTCTTTAAAATGTTCTTTTCCTATTGTGACCAGATGCTTAAAACAATTAACCTGTTCAATGAAGACTGAAGCAAAATAGGCATTAAACACCTCAACTTTCTAGCGGTCGTCATCGTTATCTCTCCTTCCCTGCTAAGCAGAGGACCTATACCTTCCTTTCTTTCTCTTGCTGCCCATGCGTTTTAAAACCTCTTCTTATTGTCTCTATATTCCCTTGTTAGGTGTAATTCATTTTCTGCCTTAGCTTTTCTGATTTTTGTTCATCCATGTACAATATTCTTTTATATACTCCTCCTTAGTTATTTGTCCATGGTTCCATTTTTTTTTAAAGGTCATTAAAGAGCTGCTGATGGAGCCATACTGGCCTCTTCCTATCTTTTCTCCACATTGGGATAGTTTACTGTTATGCCATTAATATTGTTTCTTTCAGAAACTTGCAGCTCTCCTGAATTCCTTCTTTCCCCCTCCCCCCTTCATATATTTTATTCCCTTGGGACCTTGCCCCTACCGCTTGAGTTGGGATGAAATGTGGAAGTAGCAAAACTTTATAGGACTGAAATTCCAATTTTTTGTCCTCTCTACACAAATCACTTAAACATCAAGTGACCGTACAACAGAACAGGTGATATCTATTCTTCATAAACTCTCTCTTTAGCTGTGTGACTTTCTGAAGTCTGAGTACCTGGAGGAGCAGGTGAAGGCCATCAAGCAGCTGGGAGACCATGTCACCAACCTGAAGCTCTTGGGAGTGCCCCAGAATGGCACCGGAGAGTACCTGTTCGACAAGCACACCCTGGGGGAGAGCAGCCGAACTTCACTCCAAGATACTACCTAGCTTGGTGACATCTATGTGCCCAGAGAAGATAAATTGACTGAACGCTAAACACTGTGAATAAAACATGGCTTTGAGTTGAACTCGATGTTTTTTTGGCCTTATTTTGTGAACTGGCTTACATGTATAGCTTTGCTGTACTTACAGGCAATAGAACTCAAAATACTGTCAGTGCTCTAACTACTACACATTAATAACATGCGTGCGCTTCTTGACTTTGCCTACTTCAGCAGGAATCTGAAACGTAACACTCAATCATAGTTGTAGGCTCAGTCACGTCTTGTCTTATCCCTCAACCACTACCCTAAACAGATTCAGAAACTACTGTTCGTACAAATGAGCTTATTTCCTTATAGTCACTTAATAACCAACTATCTCTATCTTCCACTCAAGTCTGCCACACTGTTGGCTCTCCAGGCAGTATTTCCACACCAGTGAGATTCCGTCTCCCCCATCACTGTAGGTAGTGGGTGAAAATCTCTTACCGCTAAGGCATAGGCGCCAACTCCGTGGATGCTCCGGGGCTGGAGCACCCACCGGGAAAAATTAGTGGGTGCTCTGCACCCACTGGCAGCCACATGCCCCACCCCACCTCACCTCCTCCTTTCCCTGAGCGGGCCGCATCCCCGCTCCTCAGCCTACCTCCCAGCACTTGCTGCTGCCAAACAGCTGTAGCAAGCTCCGGGAGGGAGGGGGAGAAGCGGGAACCTGGAATGGTCAGGGGAGGAGGTGGGGAAGAGGCAAGGTGGGGATTTGGGGAAGGGGTTGGAATGGGAGTGGGAGCACCCACTGGCACCAGTAGAAGTCAGCACCCTGTGCTATAAGATTCTGATTAAGCAGAATGATGCCATGTACTAGCTTGCCCAAGAAAGCAGTCTAGTGCCTCTCAAACAGAGCTTTCCAGGTAACCTCTCACAAGAGGACTGTTCTTCTGCCCCCTGACTTCTATAGGCAGCAGTTTGCAATTGGCAGAGATGTTATTTTGTCAGAAGCTATCTGGAAAGCTGTAGTTGATGGGAGGGAGGAACCCTTCCTAAGCACAGTTGTATCCTTCCTGTTTACAGGGCTCTGGCATTGGATTTCTGAGAACCATGGTTCCAGAGCTCCTTGAGAATGAAGCCAGGTACCACGCAAGGCTGAATGTGTTCAAAGGCCATCTCTTCAATGTTCTCTTAGCACTGAGCTCTCCTTTCTAAAAAGGCACCACAGAGCTGGTGAAAAGAAGAGTGAGAAATGGTCGAGTAACTGTATTTAAGGCATCCGATGAAGTGAGCTGTAGCTCACGAAAGCTTATGCTCAAATAAATTTGTTTGTCTCTAAGGTGCCACAAGTACTCCTTTTCTTTTAAAGATAATGCCGTTTAATGAGTAACTGCGATAGCTAAAAATCTGCACTTCTAACTCCTATTTGTAATCCTCCTGCAGCTTTGTGACTTTCTGGAGTCTGACTACCTGGAGGAGCAGGTGAAGGCCATCAAGCAGCTGGGAGACCACCTCACCAACCAGAAGCTCTTGGGAATGCCCCAGAATGGCATGGGAGAGTACCTGTTTGACAAGCGCACTCTGGGGGAGAGCAGCTGAACTTCATGGTGTAGAACCAGTCCACGGTGCTGGCTCACCAGTGCATAGATGTATTGCCTTATTTGCAATGTATGAAAATAAAACATGGTGTTCACCTGTGGCTCATCTGACTTTACTTACAGGGTGCTCTAATTAAATTTGTCAGTGTTGTGAGCCCCTGCCAACAGGGGCTGACATAGAAATGACTGTATGCTACATAATGTATGGATGGCTGTTGGCCATGCCTGGTTCATTACAAGCCCAAACTATACTTAAACTCTAAAATCCACTTTCTTGTGCCGCTGCCAGTGTATAATATCAAATCCTCCTGAAGTGACCCTATGTGCATAAATGGCAGCTGCATCCCACACCAGGCACATGGGCCATTTAAACGTGTAGTTTGAGGCCATTATTGCCCCACAAAGAGGGATAAGGAATATCCCTATTCAGGATATTCACCTGCTGCCATACAAGTGTTTCCTCTACCCATGTCCTTTGTAGCTATAAGCCTGGTGCTCTAAAGTCAATGCATTTGAATGATACGTCTCTGTGAGGATGACTACTAATCATAGTGCATCACGAGCTATTTGGGATAGTGGGGTGGGATAACTGGATACTGCTCTGGGTGTGTGTATGATAAAGGAAAAGCAGAACACCCCCTCTTCTGCTGAGGAGCTGCACTGTGAATGAGTGGGGTAGACGTCCAAGGCAAGAGTGAATAATACAAGAACACTGCCATCAATCATCTGATGTCAAACTGTAATTGTGTGAGTAGTGGACTGAGCTTCCCGATAGCTGAGGAATTGTGCCATTAGTATGACTAGGTTTAGAAATCCCCTGGTTGTGGGCGCACATGTGACCACCATAGAATCATAGAATATCAGGGTTGGAAGGGACCTCAGGAGATCATCTAGTCCAACCTCCTGCTCAAAGTCGGACCAATCTCCAATTAAATCATCCAACAGATTTTTGCCCCATATCCCTAAATGGCCCCCTCAAGGATTGAGCTCACAACCCTGGGTTTAGCAGGCCACTGCTCAAACCACTGAGCTATCCTTCCCCCCACTTACTTGAGGCTAGACCCACTTGCTGTTGCATATACTTGCTACTCAGCCTGAATCAGGAAATCTCTGTGCATGTGGGTGGGTCTCTGAGATCTCTCCTGCATAGACCATCCTCTCATTGGATACTAGATACATATATTGGCTATGGCTGCAACCTACTCACCTGCTTCAGGCTAGTATTGTATATACATGTCAGGAGGCAGAGGTGCAATCTTGCTCCTTTGTTCTGTGGCAGGATCACAGCTACAGAACTCCTTGCCGGGGTAAATGAGATAAAATAGTACTTTGAAAAAAAAACGGGGGGACGGGGGACGGGACGGACAAACACTCAGGGCATCTGTCCTCCAAAATAGGGGGAGGAGCAAGAGAGAGAGAGAAAAAGAAAACCTAGTTTCCATTTTTTAGGGTTTTTTTCTTGGCTTAGTAGGTACTATGGTGATAGGTGCCTTTGGAATAGCCTCTTTCTACCCAAAAAGAGCTGAATTTTGAATATGACATGAAATTATCTTTGTTGAGAAGTTAGAGATGGGGCTGATGCCATTTGGTTTATAGAAGGTGCAACTGAAGATTTAAAGAAAGTGACAGCTTGAAACCTGTTTGTCCTCAAATATCCTGCATGGAGTAATACAGCACCAGAGAGCTACATCTACGCAGAGGCTGTTAATAAACACAAGGTTATTGAAAGCTGGGCTCTGTGTAGTCTCGTATTCTAGCATAGTGATAACTGGAAGAGTAGCAGGGCCAAGTGGCTGTCAGTGTTGCTCTTTGCCTTTTCTACTGCCCCCGCCCCATGAGATCTGGTACCAGCAGCTGCGTTCAAGGTCACTGATTTTCTACAACTCATTGCTCAGTGTCAAGGTATATTTTGCGACTCCCAGTCTCTTTGAAGTTGCTTGACAAAGGGAATCCTGCTTTAAGTCTATGTTTAATTTGGGAGGAACAGATTTCCAAGATGGCTTAATATGTGAGATATTCTATGTAAATGGAGTATTGCCCTTACAGACTATTCAGGAACTCCATTCTTTGACTCCCACATCCCACCGCTGCCTGCATTATCCAAAGGGTCATCTGTTGCTTTCTTCTCTGATGCGGCTCTGGTATGCAGCAGGATCCATTCCAGATGCTAAGAGCTGCTTCCTAGGAATGAATGGAAGAGAAGACCTATCAGTGTGTGCTTTTCAAATTTTGTTTTTAAATTTTGTGGTTAAGAAATATGGATGGCAGAGAGAGGGATTTCCCAGTGTCCCTGAACGTGTGACCCTTTGAGGAAAAACTGGATCCTGCAGCCAGGGGTACTGGAACAATTTTCACAGTGCGGGTGCTGAGAGCCATTGAACCAAACTGTAAACCCGGTGAATAATGGACTCCACATCAATCCAGAGGGTGCGGCAGCACCCTTAATTCCAGGACCTTTGCCTGCAGCTGGGTTTCTGAGAATTCAGTCATTCCTTGCAATGCTGTCAGACAGACTTGCTGCATTGACATTAGCTGGGAGGAACAGACCTCTGTAAAACACGTGGGATGCAGGGTATTCTGTTTTTGCATTGCCACAAGAATAGTTAGATGGCTGTTCTTGTTGGAATCATTGCCATTTTCACACATGTTGGCTGCTCCTGTCCATGTCCCCTGGGCTCCTCTTGTGTCCCTCCAGTTCCCTTAGGTCTCCACTGCTCTGCTTGAGCTGTCCTCTTCCGGTTATACTTTTGCTGTTATTATTTTTTCCTTTGTAGTGCCCATAATGAGCTGGGTGCTACACAAATATGAGGGAAGGCACAATCCCCGTTTACACTCCATTGTGATGCTCCAGCCTTTGCACTTTCCTACCACAGTCTCTCCTGGGAGAAACCCCAGCCTGTTAGAGACAGATCTGAACAGAGAGGGGATTTCAGAGTTCTCCATAGAACAGAACAGGGAGTTGCATTAAGCTGCATTTCAGACATCTGAGAGGCTTTGGCGTTCCTTGGGAAATGTCACAAGAAATGGGAAGCCATGTGCAGGCCAAGGAACATGTATCTAATCTCATGTGTATCTATTCTGTGTGGGCATTTATATAGCCTCTATTATCATAGTGACTCAGCAGCTATATAAACATTCCTCCAGACACCCCCTAACACCTCTGTCCTTTCCTTCCTCACAGGGTGTTATTGGATTTATTTGCTGAACTTGTCACTCTAGCTCAGGCTGCCATACACCAAATAGGTTGTCATGGTAACAGGTCAAGTCATATTACTGAATCATCCCTTCACCTGTGGGAAGTCAGGAACAACCCCACCCTGCTGCTCATTGGTTCCTTGATGCAAATGAGATTTCCATTGGGCAGCAGCAGCTGGCAATCACACCCACATGTGACTCTGAAGGGAATTAATAGCAACTGTGAAGGCATAGGCTGTGGTCTTGGCTTGGGAGGGGTTGTCTAGAGCTTGGTCCTAGAGTTTGTGGGTAGCTAAACTGCTGAATGGAGTCTCAAGTGTGCCAGAACTTCCATGCTGAGTGTGAGGCTGCTGTGAACAGCATGGTGAACCTGGAGCTGTATGCCAGCTATGTCTATCTGTCCCTGGTGAGTGTTTCTCTGGTGGTCCTGCAAATCCAGGACTTGGTGTGACTTTTTTTTTTGCATTGGGGGGTTCACATTCTCATGCTAAAATAAGCTTTAGAGGTTTCTCTTATTATCTGGGTTGAGTACCTTTTCCAAGTAGCTGTTCCTGAAGCAATTTTAGGCTAAAGTAAAAATTTCCCTTATAGGGGTCTATAGATCAGCTATTAAACTAGTAACCTTGGAGATGGAGTCTTCATCTTCAAGATCTAGAAGGTTCATTATGTTCATCTTTGATTCTTGAACCACTAATCCTGTCCTTCTATTAACTCTGTGGCTAGTGAAATATCTTCATGCTGGACAACTGCTTGCTCCTGAGCCATAGTTAAGTAATGTTTGCCTCTTCTTTATAACCATCAAAGATGGCTGGAAAATGATTCCATGTAAGAGGTGGGGAGAGATCCTTATCTATAACAGCACAAACAACTCTCAGATCTGTTAAGTGAATGAGGGAAAACTAGCAACTAGATTCTTTTGTCTAATGGTATTGCTTAAAGACTCTTTGCCTTCCACAGAAAGCTCTAAATTAAAACAGCTGTGAGTAGAGTTACACCCTAGAGTTAGCTGGCTGGCAAACTTTATACAGCTGGGATCTGGCAGAAAAAGGGGCATGCTCTTCTAGTCCTCTTTTTCTATGTAGCGTTCCTACTTGTAAACTCAGTAATCAATACTGCACCTGTATAGCCCTGAAACACTATATGTTGTGTTTTGCCTTGAGAATGTCCAGCAGGAATGTGAGGCAGTGAGCTATGCAGATGAAGTAGAAAGGATTTAGGTTCCCTGTATGTTCTGGAGTATAGGGAGGGCTTTCCGAAGCCCTTCTCTTTGTGATGCTGATGTGGGTATCAAAGAACTATGGTCATAATTCTTTGTCTGGCTTCATCTGAAGGTGTATAGCTTGGTTCTTCCTGTAGTAGGTAAGCACAGTGAAGGTATGGGGAAGGATCTATCGCTACAGCTGAAGAGCTGCTGCCTAGAATAATGAAAGCCACATGAGAAGTCCCTTCACAGCAAGGAACTTCCTGTGGCATGATGCTTTATTACTGTCAAATGTCATTCATTTCCTGTCCTCCTCCCCAGTCCTACTACTTTGACCGTGATGATGTGGCCCTGAAGCACATGGCCCAGTTCCTGAAGGAGCAGTCCCATGAGGAGCGGGAGCATGCAGAGAAGTTCCTGAAATACCAGAACAAACGAGGGGGACGCATTGTCCTGCAGGACATCAAGGTGAGACAGTCAGTAATCACCCAAATGGGAGAGTAGAATGAAGGTTCTAGGACAGTAACTCAGCATTTCTTGCTGTGTGAACCTGATGCATAGGCTGGTAGTGGCATTTCTCGTCTGTAAAAGAGACCTAATCTACTACCTGATCAGCCCATTGTCCTGGTGCTCATTTGAAGAATAAGAAACTTTTACTGCCTGCTTCTTACCTAGCACGTATTGGGCTCTGTTTTCAAATGGACACTATTTTTTGTTTTGTTCTAACTTACTGTTTTCCAATGACTGAAGTCTCCTTTATGTGTGAGAAGACTGCACAGCTAGTGGCCCTTTGTTAATTCTAAAGTGTTTGTGTCAGGAAAAATGCTTTTGCTTAGAGAAAAAGCATTGAGAATAAAATTGCTGAATGACAAGCGTATAGCAAGGAGCTAAGCAAATGTGCTAACTCCTAGATGAAGGAAGCAGGGATCTACTTCCAATAGTGCAAATGTTTCCATTCTGTTGCTGGTCTCCTACAGAGGCCAGAGCAGGATGAGTGGGGAAACAGCCTGGAGGCCTTGCAATGCGCCCTGCAGCTGGAGAAGACTGTGAACCAGGCCCTGCTGGACCTGCACAAGCTGGCTACTGAGAGGAATGACCCCCATGTGAGTGACTGGATAGTAAAGGAAATAGCAGTTACTATTTCCTTTCCTACAGAGAAGAGTAGGAGAGGCTCAGAATTTGAACACTGATTCACTTGAGGAGAAACTACAGGGTCTGTGGTGGGAAGGGGTAAAGAGGAAACATGCCATAAATCAAGAGCTGGAGAGACCCCTTCCTGGACTGCCTCTCACATTATTCTTTGCCCTTCACCACTGCTTGTTTTGCCTCTCCCTACACTTAAGGCTCTAATCTGCTGTATTATGCCTTGGATTATGGCCTGATCTTTCTTGATCTCTAATCTTAGATGGGATTGGGAATTTTTTTGCTCTGCATGAGGTTTATACAATGACTCTGCATGTTCCTTGCTACCACCTCCTAGGATTCCTTATTGGAAACCTCATCCAGGCTTGAGGTCAGTGGTGCTATTGCTCTGGACAAACGCAGAATACTGCTTTTTGTAGAATCATCCCTGAAAATGGGAGGTCTCATCTTGAGATTATGCCATGAAAAGTCTGAAGTGTGACTGACACTACTGGGCTACAAAAATCTGTAACCCAGCATAGTCCTCCTAACCCTCTGCTTTTCTCTTGCAGCTCTGTGACTTCCTGGAGTCTGAGTACCTGGAGGAGCAGGTGAAGACCATCAAGCAGCTGGGAGACCACCTCACCAACCTGAAGCGCCTGGGAGTGCCCCAGAATGGCTTGGGAGAGTACCTGTTTGACAAGCTCACCCTGGAGGACAGCCGTTGAACTGGACTCGAGGGATATTGCTTATTTGATGACTCATCTGTATGCAGAGGAAATAAGAATTGAGCTATTTACTGTGAATAAAACATAGCTGTCAGTTGTAACCTGACTTTGCCCTTTCTTAGTCTGTTAAATTGGCTTCAGTAAGTCACTAATTACACTACACACGAACAGGAGCTGCACATCTAGTGAGTGCCTTAGCAATTATGGTGGATAAAATAACAGGCTTATCGGTTGTACCCACTACAGTATACATCTGGAAGGTAACACTCTCCATCCCAGCTGAGGTTCATTCCCACCCTTTGCTGTCTGAATTCATGAGTGGTCAGCTAAACAGATACAGCTTATTTTCAGGTGCAGTACTTTCTGCATCCTCTTAAAGTCACTTAAGAGAGAAGCTGGGTTTATGCCTACCACTCAAGGCTGTTATAGTGTTGACTCTCCAGCTAGTATCCCTACACCACTGAGGTACCGTCAAAGCATTGCTGCAGGTACTGAGGGAAAAGGTCTATTCCAGGATTCTGCTTAGGCAAAATAATGCCATGTAACATAACTTGCCCAGGCAAGCAGCTGAAAAGCATTTGGCTAGTACTGTCTCACAAGAGGTCTTCTGACATGGCTATATACAGCAGTTTGTTAAAAAAAAAACAACAACCCTTCTTTGGTCTAAAACATAGACGTAATCTGCACATGTACTGGGCTCTGGTGCTAGCTTTATGAGAACTGCAGTGAGAGCTTCTTGCCAGAGGAGCTCAAGTACACAGCAAGGATCAATATTTTTCAGATGTCACCTCTTCCCCGCAACCTAGAACCAGGCACCGTACTGCTGGGCAAAGGCGAGGGTAGGTAGGTGGGGGAGACAGCCCATTAGCTGCTTAGCTTTCATTGCCATCTGTAGATGTGAGAGTGCACGCTAGACACGATAGCAGTAAACCAAATGCCGTGAGAACAGGAGGACTTGTGGCACCTTAGAGACTAACCAATTTATTTGAGTGTGAGCTTTCGTGAGCTACAGCTCACTGCATGGGATGCATAAAAGTGGAAAAAGCAGTCGCTCACGCTCAAATAAATTGGTTAGTCTCTAAGGTGCCACAAGTCCTCCTGTTATTTTTGCGAATACAGACTAACACGGCTGCTACTCTGAAACCTGTCAAATGCCATGGGCTCCCCTCCTCTTTAGTAAGGAACAGAGTTCAACACTTTTCTCCACTTATTAATAGGAAGCCACTCTTTCTCCCCTCTCTTATGCCACCTCACGAGAGTTTAGTGCCACCTTGGTTACTGAGGGAGGCCTAACACTTAGGTGCTGAAGGTTGGGCTCTATTCAGATGTTGGCTTCAGATAGGTAATAAACAGGAAAAAATGGCAGGGATGAGTTGTTGCCAGTTTTGTTCTGTTTCTATTGCTGCCCTTTACAGGAGAGACCTGTTGAGATAACTTGGTCTGCCTGGAAATCTGTTTCAGCACCTGAGCTGCACCTGCCTCAAGTTCTGCATCTGCAGTGTATTAGGCTGTCTTTGTGCAACACTGTGACTGCCATCCTGTGCGTGTTAGCTCTGTAAATAGGCACTGTTCATAATAAGCAGCTTGTCAAGCTAGCTGAATGTCAACAGGGTGACTGTTTGATATTACAAGCTAATCAGAAAATTCATGATTTGTTTTTCCTACTTCTACTGTACATAACAATTCAAAGGGGTCTCCTCTCATTTTACCCTCTGAGGTGGTGAACGGAGCCAGGATCGGATTCTTCCCCCTGCTTGCTAAGATCCATTTATTAGAAGTGAAAGGCAGAGAATCAAAATCTGTGGAACAACTTAGAGAGACAGTAGCTCCTGCCACTGGCTCTCTTTAAATTTAGCCATTTGCGGACAGACCTGCTATATAGCCAGATGCTGGCATAAGGGGTGTGTGTTGGGGGGGAGGAGGCTGTATTATGTAGTGAATATGCAGCCAGAAACCATTTGGAATAAAAGGCAGCAAAGGAAGGTTGGAAATACTGTAATCTTTTACTGAAGAAAAATATTGGCTGTCAAATCATTGCAGGTGGGTCACAGGAGTCCTTTAGCCCAGGTTTGCCTGTTTCTTCAAAACACTTGCATATTTATGCTGCTCACCCCATCAACCGGAAATGTAATCATGAAACAACATGCTGCGGTTGGCCACTACAAACCCTCGATTGTCATTGACACCTTCCAGTGTAATACCGTATTATGAATTGTGTCCAGCTTTACCTTTGGCTTTCTGTTTCTGTGACCATTGTTGCCAACTCTCAGATGCCCCAGCTGCTATGCACCACGTGGCTGCTGGCTCCCCCCAGGCGCCTCACTCTCTCCTGGGGTCTCTGGGGCTCCAGGTTTTCCCCTTTGTTCAGGTTATATTTTTTGTTGTTGTTTATTCATTTCTGGTAATACCCTCAATGTGCTAGGTTCTGTAAAAACATAAAGAAAAGCACAGTCCTTGCTGCTGTGACCTTCCTGATCTTGACTTTTCCTCCCATGCCCTATCTTATGATAAACCTCAAGGTCCTTTCCATGTTCTCCATAGAACACCAGCTGTGCTAGGTAACATTTCAGATAGCAGAAGGGCTCATGCCCCCCTTTGGAGATGTCGTAGGAAAGATGTGAGCATTTTGTCTAATTTAAGGTATATCCCTAAGCTAAGTATTTAGGTACTTATCTGGCCACTATCATCATCAGTGTCTGTCCTCCAAACACCCCCCACTACTCCTCTTTTCCCTTCCTTACAGAGCTATTGGGAAACTGGATGTGTCTGTTGAACTTTCCTCATTTGTTTTCCCTATCTGGCCAGCCTAGGCTTCAGGGTCATTCTGCTAATTGGCCAGGTCACGTTACCTGTGGAAACTGAGAAACAGCCTCACCTACAGCCCCACCTGGTTCCTTGGTGAGGAAGGGTGTTTCCATTGGGCAGCCACAGCTGTCATTCACACCCATACCTGGCTTTGAACACTATTAATAGCAGCTAGAGGGGAAACAGGTGTTTGTGGGTGAGGAGTTGTGGGTTTTGCATAGTAGTGCCTGAAGAGAAGTTGCTCTAAGCTTTAGCTTATTGATCACACTATACTGCAAAAACTTTTCAAGCAGAGGAATGGAGTCCCAGGTGCGCCAAAATTTCCATGCTGACTGTGAGGCTGCTGTGAACCACCTGGTGAACCTGGAGCTGTATGCCAGCTATGTCTATCTGTCCATGGTGAGTGTTGCCTCTGTTCTTCAGAGGCTAAGGCTGTTAGAAAGCAGACAGAAATGTCCTTTATAGACCTATTAAGGTAACTGTTTGTAACTGAGTAAATGAACCATGGTGAATTAAAAAAAAAAAAAAGACTTACAAAACTATGTAACAAATAGGGAAAAAAGTGACTATGGCCTCTCCTGAGAACTGAGAGGCACCCATTAGTGTTAAGTCATGGGTATAAGGTGGCAAGAACAGGCCATTGCCCATGCAGCAAATCTATTACAGACAAAGGAAGAGCTACCAACACTCACTCACAATCTGAGGTCCCTATGTCAACACTATCAGGAGTATGATAGTAATGCTTCTTGGTAGGGTAAGTGGGGAGGCCTTCATTTGCATATGTATGTACTCCACCGTCAATAGGTAAGAGATGCTTGAGTTTCTGTGTATAGCCTTCTTCACAGAGGAAGAGTGAGATGGGATCTCTTTCCTCAGAGTGAGGTTCTCTATTGCACATTAGAAGAAACTGTTTTTCTGTTAAGTTTTTATCCTTATCACATGACAATGTCTTTGTTAATATTTTACACTTTCCTTAGTCTTATTACTTTGACCGTGATGATGTGGCCCTGAGGCATGTGGTCCAGTTCCTGACAGAGCGGTCCCAGGAGGAGAGGGAGCATGCAGAGAAGTTCCTGATATACCAGAACAAGCGAGGGGGGCGCATTGTCCTGCAGGACATCAAGGTGAGAAACAAATCCAAGGGGAGGTTCTGAGGGATCACATGGCTGCCCTAAATTCTGCTGCCAAGTAACTTTTTTCCGTAGCATAAACATGACTCACTGGCCCTGCAAGAATAAAATGTAGAGTAGTAGGGCTTAATGAATGGGACTCGGGCAACCTGGGTTCTATTCCTGGTTTTGTTATTCCCAGGGTGGGTGACCTTGAGCAAGTCACTACTTCTTGTGCCTCAATTTCCCCATCTGTGAAATGGGGATAACTTCCTTGTAATGTGCTTTGAGATCTGTTAAGTACTGCATAAGTTAGGTATTCTCATCTATTGAGGGTGCTCTCTCTGAGGCCTATGGATCAGGAGCACAAGATGTGTACCTTTTGTCCATGTATCTGTAAAACTCTCTGTAATTCTAGCCCTAGCCTTCATTCACTGTGGTCTACACCACCCCTTGTACTAGAGATTTGTATGAGCACTCTAGCTGGTATTCTAATAATTCACAGAACTTTGTCCATCCTCTTCCCTTTCCTGCTTCCACACAATCTCTTCCCCTTCCCCTGTGTTTTAGCTACAGTTTGCTTTCCCTATACTTGAGGGTAGGGTGGGGAAACCTTTTTAATACAACATATGCCAGTGAATTAAGACTTTAGCTATATACTGATTATCCAATAGCATTGAGGACTATTTGGATCATTGGGAGATCAGATAATCAAGGGGGCATGAGCCATTCAGCAGCAGGGTGGCCTTGCATGCAGCTGGGGATTAGTTGTGGTCCTCACAGTCCTGGTTAAGGGTCTCTGCTCTCTTGTCTGAACCTATGCATTATCCAAATTCCTTTCTAGTCACCAGCATAAGACAGATGGGGGAACAAGGAAGGGATCTGGATAATGTAGAGGTGCAGATAATAGCATTTTGGATAAATGAGAATGCAATTGGAGAGGCAGGACCAGACTGAATATTACTCTCTTGCACAGAAGCCAGAGCGGGATGAGTGGGGGAACAGCCTGGAGGCCCTGCAGTGTGCCCTGCAGCTGGAGAAGACTGTGAACCAGGCCCTGCTGGACCTGCACAAGCTGGCTACAGAGCAGAATGACCCTCATGTGAGTAAAGAGAAGCGAATAGCTCTTCATGAGTGGTGGTAGTTTCAATACTACGTTGACATGGTCTAGAATCCTCATTAGCTGGCCTCTGCAGATCCCAGACCTCTCTAAAACTAGGGAGTGTCTGACTTCTGTGGTCAGGGCATCAAAAGTGAATTGGTCTAACATACCCATGATAGAAGGTCTCCCTCTACACCCTCTGGTTCTTATGGATACAAATAAGCAAATAGCAACTATCCCAACCTACTGTAAAAGAATAAGCCAGACAATGTTTTGGGAGGGCAGGGTCACAAGATCAAGTCAGGAAATGACTGGTCCCTATAGCTACAAATTAAGGGAGGGTGACAAAGCTGTCTTGTATAGCTATTTCCCATACAAAATCCCTAGGATGGGGTGGGGGAAGCCATAGATCAAGGTTTCTCCTCTTCTATGGTCCAAGCTACTATAATCTATCCAGGTACTTGAGTAAGCCGCCACTGTAGCATGAGTGCCTACTTGTTGGCTTGTCTCAGTAGGTAGGCACTAAATGTCTGCAGAATGCCCTCTTGAGCCTCCCTCCCCAGACTTTCAGGGACTAGCATGAGAAGAGCATCTGGGGGACTGAGAAAGTTTGACTACAACTAGCTGTCTATGGCATTGCAGCTTGGTGCATAGCTGGCAACTCCATAAAACCATGCTGTGCTGTATATCTGAGCAGGAGGAAGTCCATTCTAGCCCTCCCTGTTTCCCTGCAGCTCTGTGACTTCCTGGAGACTGAGTACCTGGAGGAGCAGGTGAAGACCATCAAGCAGCTGGGAGACCACCTCACCAACCTGAAGCGCCTGGAAGTGCCCCAGAACAGCATGGGAGAGTACCTGTTCGACAAGCTCACCCTGGGGGAGAGCAGCTGAGCTCCAAGCTCTGAAGCTGTCAAGAGTGCAGCCCTGATCTCTTGTCTATTACAGCTGCTTGTGAGTTACAATATCTGCATGGCCTCAAAATAAAATGTGCTATTTGTCCAGCAACTTGGTTTCTACTTTTATTTGTTCTAGTCTCATTCCTGTAGGAAGATGATTCTCATGAACAGGGAGCATTTTGGGAGTCATGGAGTATTACTCCCGACAAGATAGTGTCATGGTTGCTGGGTAGACTTGCTAAAAAGCTTGGAGAAGAAGGAAACATTGTCTCATCCTTGCCACACAAGAGGCAGGCATCAAAACAAACAGAGATGATGCATCACTAAGACTTCAGGTACAGTTTCTTATGGAAATAGCCATAAGACAGGCTTACGTTTTCCTGCCTAAAGCACACATAGGCCAGCATACTGCACTGAATCAATTACAGAACTAAATCATTAAACCATATTGGGATAGCCTCCTATTGTCTTGTTTTGCCCTGCTGTGCCCCCCCGCCCCAGGGTGCTTTTGGTAGCATCTTCAATGAGGGTCTTCACTTTCCACTCTAAGTCTAGAGTGGAAAAGCAAACTCCTAAATATGGTACCAATTTAGGACAAGCTAGAGAACAGAGTTGCTATTTGATGTTTTTTTGCCTACATCCCAGTTAGTTGGCTTCTGCAGCACTGAAGATGACCAAAGCCATGTAACAAGGAGCTGAAATTGAGCCTGGCTCATTCAGCAACAGAACTGGGGATGGGGGAAGTGTCATTAAAATATCCTTTGTTCTTTAGTGTGGATATGAGCAAGTTAAACCTTCAGTCTTCTGGAAGCTTGTAGGCTCAGACATGTGGGTAGTCTAAGCTTTCTATGGAGGCCATTCTCTTTGAATTACTCACTGTCTGCATTCTGGAAGCAGAGAATAAACACTACAATCCTACAGTAAGATTGCTAGAACAAGGCATAACCTAGCCAGAGACTGGGGAACAGGTAATGCACGCATACACACCTTGGGCCTAGTGTATGTGTCATGGGCTTCTCCCATCCACCCCATATTGACTTCATCTCTAGTCTACTCTGTGTGCTATGTCACACAGCTGAAACTCAACCTCTCCTCTATAGACAATTCAAATGCTTCCAGCAGTCCGCATGTGGGCAACTTAACAGACAATAGCCATCAAGCAGGTGGATGATTTGGCTTCTGACAGAAGCCTGTGCTCATTCTGAGAGGGGTATTGTTATCATTGACATAGCTCAACATCAAGTGTTAGTGAGCACCTTGGGTAGGAGGGATGATCTAGTTGAGAAGACACAGGACTGGGACTCGATTCAGCTGTAGAATTCCCTTATGACCTTGGTCAAGTTACTTAACCTGCCATGTGCCTTAGCTCCCCTTTGGTGAAATGGGTATAGTAATTCCCTAGCTTAGAGGGGTACCTTTCATCTGCTCAGAGGGCTCCTAGCTCATGTTCAGCATGCATATGGGTCTGTTAGACAGACAGAGATATAAAGTGGCTAATAGTCAATTAACCTAGGTGACATTGAGCTCTTCTCCATTGCTGTTTCGGAGGCAGAAGCTATGACAGGGTGTGAAAGAATGGGGCATGGAGGATGAAGGCTACCTGGCTGAGACTCAACCTAAGCATGACTCTAAGAATGGAAGTATGGCACATCTGCTTGCTATGGTAGAAAATATCATCATATTGATCTTATTTTTCTTCTCCCTGTCATTTTGTTGGATCTGCAGCTATATTTTTAGGTGGGAAGATGGCATAGGAGGCCAACTTTTTGTATGACCTATTGCTACAGTAGTAGGGTGAGGGAGATTCAGTTTTAATATGCACTTTAGGCATAAATTTGAATAAATGAATGACAACACAGGAGGTTCCTTTTAGCTTGTTGTATGGTATTAAATATGGTGCTAGTTACACAAGGTTGAAAATTGCGTGCAATTATTAAACAGACAACTCTTTGGGAACAAGCAGCAGGGACAAGCCAGTTAATGTCTTTGCTATAATGCATAACGTTCCCACCTGAGCAATTTCATATACTTTCCTCCTTCTGTATAGGCTCAGGTTGTACTGGTACCTAAACGTTCTTTCAATGAGCTTCTTCTCTGTGGAGTGTGCACACACGGCCAGTTTCCTACCTGCCAGAGCTTGTCTCCTAGAATTGAAAAGGTTTGATAAGAAGACCAGGTATAACAATTACTTGGTTTACGTTTGTGGTTTATGTGCATGTGCACTCTGGACAAGGTGCCTGCATGGATTACAGTGATAATACATCTCCGTTGCTGGAACAAGCCACATTCTGCAAAACTGAGAAAGGTTTGAGGGAAAGTGGACCCTTTGGATTTCTGGCCAGACAATATTTTCAGCTGTTTCCTATGAGACAGCCCTGCTCTGCTAACAAGAGACAAATACCTGAGTGGAGAGTGTGGCTTTAAATGAGCTGGGAATGTCAATTACTGATTATTGACAGAACTGGGTCCTTTCCCCAAAGCAATAAATACATTTTAATAAGGGTTGTGTATGTGTGTGCGTTACAAGATCAGCTGGAAGGAGGGAGGCATAGACGCTAACATTTCTTCCTATTCGGCACAGAGTATATTTTGCCCCATTGGTGAATAAATAAGAGAGCTGGGTGTGTGGGAATCTCCCAGGTCAATGTGGAGAACCACAAACAGAAATGGACATGTACCTATTGACACCCTGTTTTCACTGACTGTAAGTGCAATGAATCAGCTGTCTAGTTTAATGTCTTTGTCTCTGTCACTGTTAATCTGATATATCCATGCTCCAGCCTCTGCTATGGCAGATGGTGGGATTCAATAGAGAGAGATGAATGCTTTGGGGGAGAATTCCTACAGTAGGCCAACCTTCTAGTATGTAAAGACCTCTGAAATACCTCAGTAGGGATTAGAGCAACGGTTCTCAAGCTTTTGTACTGGTGACCCCTTTCGCACAGCAAGCCTCTGAATGTGATCCCCCTGATAAATTAAAAACACTTTTTTTATATTTAACACTATTATAAATGCTGGAGGTGAAGTGTGGATTGGGATGGAGGTTGACAGCTCAGGAGACCCTCCCTTTCTCATGTAATAACCTCGCTACCCCCTGAGGGGTCACAACCCCCAGTCTGAGAACCCCTGGATTAGAGTAAGTGACATTTGGACATGATACATTTGGTACCTATCTATCACCCCCCACCCTATTTTCTGTGTCTTCTGATCCCTACAGGGCAGTGTGAGAAACCAGATTTGTTTGTACACAGTGGGACACAAAATAACTTGTACCAGGAAACAAAACAAGCCCAACCCTGGGCTGAATGTCCAGTTGCCGGAGCATTCTATATCACTAACCCTCTCCCCAGCTCTTGTCAGAGGTGTGGTTTTAACTGGAGATGTCATATGGCTGACACCCATTCACTGGTGAAATTCATTAACACACTCATCTGCAATGGCTTGGTGAAGAAGGGACTTTCTAATGGGCAGCAGCTGCCAGTCACAGCCACACCCTATTCTGAACAGTATTAATGCCAGCTGTGCCTAGGAAAGGTCTATATCTGCCTTGTGCTTCTGCTCAGATTGTGTTTGTTATTGTTACAGATTTTTGCTATAGCCCCTTTCTTGTTCAATCCCACAGGTAGTGATGGAGTCCTAGGTGCATCAGAACTTTTATTCGGAGTGTGAGGCTGCAATTAACTGCATGGCGAATATGGAGCTGTATGCTAGCTATGTCTATTTGTCCATGGTGAGTGCCTGTCTTACAAAAACACTGTGCTATTTCATTGTATGTTAGCCCTCAGGTGTTAGTAGAAATCTAAGGCTGTTGAGTTTTTAAAGCCATCTATGAGAAATCCCAGTTGTGTAGAATGTCCTTAGAAACTACAGTGTTACATATACTTGTAAAGATGAGTTTTTGTGATTATGCAACTACTAGTGTGGAGCTAATAGGAAGCTTGGGGGAAATTATGAGAGGCCTGAAATGGGGAAAGAGATGTTTAGCTCTCACTATTTGAAGAGTGACCTAGATTAAAGATATCACTAAGCTCAAGTACCAATGCAATGTGTTAAGGTGAGTTCAGTTTCTGGTTGTCCAACACAGGAAGCTGGTGATACTTAAGAGGGACATTTTTAAGGCAAATCTTCTGAAACCTGTAAATCCCACTGATAGTCATTTCTGGGACTCAACTGCCAGAGGCACAAGTACTTCAGAAAACTCTGTCCTTAAGCTCCTTGTGTCTCAGTTCCTTACTTCTTTACATGTAAAATGTTATTCTATGTAGGTCTTATGCAGCTGCATATCAAATTCTCTGAGGCACGAAGGTGTTTTGATATACCGTACATCCCGTAATGAAGCCCTGATCTCAGCTGGGGCCTCCTGGTGCCACCACAATCCAAATAGCCTAAATCATCACCACTGCTTTCCCTGTCTCCCTAGTCCTACTACTTTGACCGTGATGATGTTGCCCTGAGGCACATGGCCCAGTTCCTGAAGGAGTAGTCCTATGAGGAAAGGGAGCATGCAGAGAGGTTTCTGACCTACCAAAACAAGCGAGGGGGGGGGGGGCGCGTTGTCCTTCAGGACATCAAGGTGAGCAACTAAGTCACTAACCATGCATGGTGGGAGGTCAGTGGAATGGAGTCTCTAGTAGGAATGGAGTTCTCCAGCTATGTGAAGAGAAAATGAGGCGGCTGTAGAGATGGGACTCTTAAGAGGCATTTCCCATAGAGCTTTGCTACATAAGCAAGTCAAATTTGAAGTCTAAGGACCTAACTTGACCTTATTATTTAGTGCCATAGGAGTAAAACTGTTTCCAGAGCACAGGATTTAAATTCCTAACCGCTCTACTTAAATGTCTGAGCTGTGAATGGTAGGCTTGGGGTTAGCAGTGAAGTAATATAGCCGTGCTATTGATCAGTGGTAATGGATGATGCATGCTGACTAGAAAACACTTAAGCCTTGAGAGATTAGTATTGGCGGGCATGACCAAAGGAAATGTGTGATTTTATTTT